CAGAAAAAACAAATAAATACAGTTTACATTTTAAACAGAAGAGTTTATTAGCCTTGGGTTACGGTTCAAACTACTCTTGGATGTAGCGGTTAGCGACCCGCTACATTCGTACTGGTTCTTGTGAAGAGCGTAAGGTCGGTGACCTAAATATTAAGCTTCCTTTCAGCGCAAATCTACGGCAGCCCCGCTGCAGGAACAGTCAATGTTACTAGATATCGGAGTATCCGAGTTGTCAAACTTCGAGGGTGTATTGGACAGAATTCTCGAACGTGGTTCGCGGGCTGAATGTGGAGTGGCACGTAACCCACTGAGCCCTCTTGCCACGTTACGAAGCTGTTGCTGCATGCCAAGGGTGCCATGGTCGGCGAAGGTCCGAGGCATCTTGGGCAAGGCCCTTCTAATGCGCGTGAAATGGCACGATATCCACTGGACGATGACTGCATAAATAGCAGCTCTTCGTCGGATGTTGTTAAATACTTCAAGGCTTCGGTCGAGCAGGAGTGTGGACACTGGACGACGCTGAAAGCGTATATCAACTGGTCTCGATGAGACGTAGAACCTCTATCGAGAGGAGAAGGTGATACCGCTTATTATCTGCAAGACGCAGGGCATCGAACTTAACCTAGGGTGTGTCTACCGTCGACGATAGTGCACAGGTATATACCCTTGTCAACGGTATGACAGAACAGGAAGACGGCGACGTCGCCCTCAAGGCTATTCCAGCGGTGAATATCCTTCTTGAGCTGGGCGAGATGTCCTTCGAAGAGTTTGGCGGTGCCTTGAATACAGGCGATTTAGCCGAGGTGGTCATTATGCGACCGAGCGAGGAGAATAACTCGTCGTCACTTCTGGATGAAGCTGTCCTGGGGGACACCAAGAGAGTGTTGAACGCACGAAGTGGATTGTTGATCTGGAAAGATCCCTCGGATCCATACTATCCTTTGGTAAAGGAATTTCAAAATGTCGTCTGCCGTCGGTCCTATCTCCGGACCGAGGTATGTATCATGAGATTGACCTGATTCCGGGAATCAAACATTGCATAACACACCTTAGGTCATTGACGCCTTTTCCACGCGAAACACGATGCAGGAATGGTGTGTGAGCAAGTCTCCCCAGTCCACACCCACGTTTCGGGTCCGGAAGGCAAGGGGCGTATCGTTCACGCTTACAATAAGCTCAACGCTACCACCATTTCGACACCGACACTAGTTCTTGTGAAAGATGTTCTTCATGATAATATGGTTGGTTGTACAAAGTACAGCGCACACGACTTGGTCGATGGGTATT